CACCCACTAGCCACGTAGCAAGGCCTTTTAAATTTTTTGTTTTTTGGATGTATCTGTATTAACCATTAGCTTTTGCAGAGAATTAACGGTCCGAAATGGGGAATCTCGAAGGCAGCCGTTTAGCAGGTGCTGAAAATGCCCAACCCATCTTTTGAGGCGTTTCATTTGGCCTGTCAATGAGGCACTCTTAGCGTCTTGGATCAAAATAGACGCAGCTCCCTACTTACACTCTTGCAGCTCTTTAAACACTGTTCGCTACTCACCGCTTTTGGCTAACGTGTCGATCTTCCTGATTTTCCCCTCCAGCCAAGGTTTTCTGATTTACCTGTAGCTCTGATTGAATGATGAACACATCTAGAGTCCAGTAGGTAGTTGCAGTTACTCTTTCTTTGCCTGATTCATCTGCAGCGTAATGAATGGGATATCCACCGTAACTCAGGGCAATTTGGGTATTCTCTTCATGACTCCAACTACGTTTTTCGCTGAGAAAATGACGGCTTCTTTGAAGCCTTAGCAAACTTCATCGACTTTTCCATTTCCTGACTGAGCACTAGTTGGCATCGAAATAGCTCTCTCTCTCTTTTGACGGGCAGATCGCTCCGCTTCTTCATATCGTGAGAAGCTGTTATGCGCCTGAGGGACGACTTCAATGATACACGTCAATTTTCGATGAAGTTCCATTTATACCACACGGTGTTTGGTCCCAATGCAACCGCCACGCCTGCGCGGGAGTGCCGAGTATCGAGCTGCTCTGTTTGCGGTTGAGTAAGACGTGGTCCATTTTGGTGCTTAGACTCCCCTCAAGGAACTCCCACTTGTTGAGTATGTTCATGAGGAAAGAGAGTCTCACTGACGAGTGAATGGTTTACCATACAAAAATTTAACAGACGCTTGCCATTGTGATTATTCTGATAGCTGAGTCGCCTGATCATGTGCCCGTACTCAGCGCCCAAATCTGCCTTGAAGTTGCCTGCCTAAATTGTGGCGTCTTCACGCGACAAGGCGTTAACAGCCTAGCCTACTGTAGGCATTCATAAATACCGTATTTGTCTCTGTAACTGTTGGGGCATAATCGACATGGCATGATATTCACTGTCATCGGTTTAACATTCACATGACAGACCGGGATTCTCTGTGACACCTCTTCTACTGAAATGACCATCCGGCTTACGCTAGGGGACATATGGATAGCCGTATCTGCACAGCGTAATGTACTGTGGCCTGACTACCGAAATGATCACCCATTCTACAGGTCAAGCTTCCCCTTCATCGGAGAGCGAACTTCTGTTGTCACCAGTACATCGAGTTTGCCTTCGTCAGACATGCACATGGAGCTTACCTCATTCGGTGTTGCCTGCTGGAATCACGGATTTCTTGGTTCCTAAGTTACGAGCGAGAACCGCTCACTGCGCACCTCTCAATCAATAACTGAAATCAGTGAATTCACTGCTCACTAAGAAATCAACCTCGCATCTCATCGAACACTCATGCTTGATGGATGATATCTGGAGATGGAGAAATCGAAATCCTTCTAAGCTGAATGACAATGATAAATTTGTAATCCAGCTTAATAACGTTGCTTAGACTTGGATATTAAATCATCACACGTCATCTGATGATATGTTGACGGTTTCGACATGCCATTATGAGTTGTGCGTATTTTCCAGGCAAATTTTATGCAAGGAAAGGTTCCACGTTTTATCAAATATTAGATTCGTAATTTACCCTCTTTCCAAAGAGTACACATTCGACTCATTCACACTATTTGGTTTCTTTGGATGTAAGAACGGACGACCTTCGAATTCCATTTGTTTCCAGAACATCCTAATATCTTCGATTTAGATTTACTCTAAGGACATTCACATGCTAAGGTCTATGGTTTTCTAAAAACTGTTAGGCTGCTCATTAATTCGAACCTTATCGCAGTCACTCACGTCGAGCATAGCTGGTAAGAAAAGTATACTCCGCTGCAATTTAAGATGGCCAGTGATTCCGTCCTTCAACCACTTCCAGCTACCCAAATCGATGACTAGGATTGCTGGTGAATCTCAAGAATCATTTCTGAATATGTCAGTTGCAAACGGTACTGTTGGAACCGCATCAAACCTGAACATCAGCTGAAGGTAATGATTTCCGTATAGCAATCTGTCGAACACCGACCCTTGTTAGTAAAGGTAGCTTATTTTATATCCTGAGAGCGTCTCTGCTCATATCTTAGAAAAACACAGAACGTCATGTATAAAAAGCATAGACACAATAAATTTCAAGTGCTTAGACGAGAATTCGTCTTTATTTCTGCATTCTCTGACTGCTGGAAACAAGTTACTCTTCTATTTTTAAGTCTTTCCAGTTATTCTCCTTGTGACGTCACGATTTACTGTGATGTTCATCTCGAAGTTGAACCGAATTCAGTGACTATGTTTGAAACGTGTCCTGTGACTCTTTGTCTCTTTGCAAGGCGACAGTATGTCGAAGAAGGCAGCTAAAGCTATCGGTGGGAGTACTTAGTCTAATTTCATCATGATCATCATGGCAGTGAAGATTAGCCGTTGGCTACTATATCAGAAACTTTCGATTCAATTAAAACAACAACGATGTGTGTTCATTAAAATGATCATCACTGAGTCATTGCATAAGCAGAAAATCTTTAGTTGTGACGCTTACTGTAGTTGCAACGCATAAGGCACCACCGATTACGACACCTTTAGAAGAAATATTCTTCTCTGAAGGCAGAACAGCCTGTACCTTGTTCCTCCAATGTTGCAAAGTGCTCTCCTAGTCAACGCCTCCCGTGGCCCGGCTTCTACACAAGAAACTCATTAGTTGAAGTAAGTGGGTTGTGCTAGACCAGTTTATCCAATGGGGTCAATCTGCTTTTCAAAGTTCTTCACATCTACTGAGATCACTTGTGTTCAGGATAGAATAGAGCCATTTTTGCGTGGCATCACCATTTGACCCTCATTATGCATCGAAGCCAACGTTGGAACAATTGATAAGTGCTGTTCACGATCAGTTGTCCATTCCTCATTCATTCGTTCGTCAACTCATCCATTCATGCCGTCTACCCATCAAATCATCCATCCCTCGTTATCGCCTGTTCTACAGAGGCTTTAAATGGTTTTTCAAATGGCATCGGTTTCTACACATTAGCGAATCGGATCTCAAACAGTGGTTTTACAATGTGCAATAATGTGACAATGCCTGCTCGTCAGGTCCTTGGAGCAGGGCAATGCTGATACACTTGTTTGTGAGCCGATCCTTCCCTCCTTCTCCAAACTTAGAGATCTCAATCGCGAAACATTGGATATGTGGTAAGGATGGCCGGACAAGGCTCGCCAGATAATATTTTCTTTCCAATATCACATGAAAGGCAGCAAAGGAATCAAAGACAGTACCAAAGGCTTTAAATGTTTAAAAGGCATCGAACACTTGCCGTTGCTGCCCTGGATCCTTGTCATTTCGCAAATCACTACTTCTGGTAAGTAGCCTCCTTTTCTAAAGGGCAAATCTGACGATATGAGCAGATTGGTGTCATCTTGAAAAATAATCGTTGGACTTAAGAAGTTTTCGTGTGGGAAAAAAACTTTATGAAACTCATTATTTAATCTATGTCACATGGTTAAAGTATATATTCAGAATAGCCTGCAAATGATATGACCG